TTAGTCCAGAAATTATTTCTGATCTGCTTTCTTCTATACCTTTCTGCAGTTGTTTCTTTACTGCCAACGCTATTATTTCAGAGATATGTGGTGTGTGTTTTCTAGTTTCCTCTATGCTAGTGTCTTCTGCAATTGTAATGGGTGGACTTGGGGCCTGAGACTGCATTTTGTTCCTTCTCTTTGTCACCACTGTCTTCTGACCTTTGGTATAGAGCTTAGATAGAGTTATTACCTTAGCACCAGGTCCGAATCTACGAAGTTCAAATTCCTCCAGGTGGATGTTGCTTGGGTCTGACTGCTGTGCTCCACTTCTTTCTGCTGCAGCTATTATAATTGAACCCTTTGTGTCACTCTGGCAAGATGTTCTGCTCCTGAATCAGCTGGGTGGGTCTTGCTCTAGCCTTTTTGTAGGGAGTTCTGCTGAAGGGTTCCATGCTGGGCCTGCACTCTGGGTCAAATGAGGATCCTGTGGTCCCCAAGCAGTCTCATTCATACACCAGGCCTGTGCTCTGGGTCAATTCAGGATCCAGTGGCCCGGGTCCTCACTCACATTCTGGGCCTGGGCTCTGGGTCTATTCAGGATCTGGTGGGCCCCAGGTCATCTCACTCAACAACTTAAGTTTGCAGACCAAAAATTAAAGAAAAAGAAGGGCTACAAGGACAGCCAACATTTTGGCTTTCAAGGTCAGTAAGGTCAGTAAGGACTCAAGAAATAGGAGAACCTGTATTGTAACATCTTGTAACTCAATTGTGTCCCAAATTTTCTGATCAAGATTTTGGAGCCACAGAGGAAAGTGATTGATGATTTAGAGTGTGCCTAAGGAGAGTCACATGGAGAGAAAACATTCTCTCAAGCTTTCACAGAGAGCAAATTGGTCAAGCAATGCCCGTGATTCATCCATATGGCTGACACTGACAAAGGATCTACAAACTGAGGTACAGCCTTTCTGGTTAAATCCTGAGGGGGATTGACCAACCTTATCAGATACAAAAGTTACATTTCTTGCTACATAGGTCTTGCTCTTTCTTGGTCTTAACCATCCAGCGGAAAAGTATGAAAATGAAGTACAAAAAGTAAAGCCATATTAATATGATGAGCTGTAAAATGCTCAAGTCAACAATTTTGGACATTGACAATCTTATAGAAAACTCACTACTATTATGGAGTGTTGGACTATATTGGGATATTTTGCTGAATTCATGCACTTACAGCATTTAAATGACAGTGGAATGCCTTCCTCTGACAAAACTAACCAAAAAAGTGGGATAGAAATGAATGACCATTTTGTATCTGTATACTCAAAATAGTTAGGATAGATATATAGCTCCATTCTCTTAATTCAATTAATAGAGAGGTTTGTTCTAATAGTATTTGAGACAGGATATCAGGTCTGCATTTTGTACAATGAATAACCATGAAGACAACAATATGCAATGCATTAATTATTGAAAACATACTAGTAATGAGTTGTGAAACTCTTTGCTATTTGTTTCTCAATAAAAATATTTAAAAAATCTGTCTTGCTAAGTTATTCAAACTTATATGGTTATATAAACTCTAAAAACAATGTATTTAGTAGTTTATGACAGTTGGACTAGAAACCTTTCATATTTTGAGAATGCCTTGTCCAGAAAAAAGTTAACCCACTGCCTGTCATGTTATCTGAACAATTTCATTCTGTTAAGTCTTAAAAGCTTAACCACTATACCTTAATATTTAAAATTGTAAAGTTGAAATCTCTTTACAAGAACTCATTGTAGCCCTTACCAAATAACGCCATATGAATGCAAAACAGAAATGGCATAGGAAAGGTGATGAATCTGATAGAAGTGCCTGCAAAGGGCTGAGAGAAGGAAATTGCACAGAGCTGAACTACTTTACCATTTTTCCCTAGGCTAGCTCTGATCAATAGCACCTTATCACATGTCCCCTATTTGTCTAGCTTCATCCACAACTCTAGAGCCCAGACACTTCCTTAAAATATTTTTGATTTCATGTACTCTAAGATGCTTTCAGAAATTTCCTTGTTTTCTTTCTTTCTTTTTTTTTTTTTTTTTCAGAACCTGGGATTGAACTCAGGCCCTTGCACTTGCCAGGAAAGCACTTATTCTACTGAGCCATCTCCCCAGCCCTAGAAATTTCTAAAATACTCTGCTTCATATTTTAAATCATATGAGGCTAAAGGCTCTCACTGATTCAGTCCAGGAATTGGTAAGTTCCTATTGCTACCAGTTATACCTACTTCCATGACTGACTGCACAACATGGCCCTGCCTACGCTATGTCCTTGCTTAATCCCAAAAGAGTGACTTGAAAATATGGTCACCTTTTTCCTAAAGAGTTTTCCAGAATTTACCCAACTACAATGTATGCTTATTCTCTTCTAGTTTGTCCTTAGGTAAATTAGTTCATGTACTTACTCATATTTATTTTATTGTGAAGTACACAAATGTTATTTCTGAAATATAAAAACCTATTAAAGATCTATGAAATAATAACTTCACCTATAACATATGACTAACCAGAAAAAAAATTCAGAATAATCTATGTGGTTTGCTAATTCCTGCCCATTTGATCTGTCTGGACACCCTACAACTGGAGCATTGTGTGCAAAGCCCAGAGGATTTTTAAAACAGTTGAACTTGTGCTACATTGTGGTTTCCTACACTATATGTGAAAACAACCTGTGTCAGTAAAAGCAAAGAGAGTACAAAAATGAATAAACTCACTACTGGATCAGCTATCTGGATGTTTCAGGTAAAAAAATACAGGTCATTTATTGTTAGATTATCTAAAGAATTCAGTCTGTGTTTCATATAAGAGAAAAACAACCTAGGAGTCTTATAACTCATTGCAAAGATAACTAATTTAGAAACAAATTAATACCAGACATTAGCAGATATTCAATATTATTTATTTTTAAAACCTTTGCTAAAATTCCTTAGAGTCTTAAACATATCTTCAGTACTCTATGACAAGGAATGAAAAAACAAGGCAGCAACAGTGAGTCAAATCAGTCAGAATTTACTTTTGACTTTGCTATCATTATGTGGTCCCTTGAGCAATTCATTTTCCTTTCTTCATTTCTACAAAAAAAAAAAAATACACTGTTTCATAAATAAAATTTCAAAGGTCCTGGGCCAAAGTGGAAAACCTACGGCATCATGCTGCACGCTAGGCTGTATGTCTAGTAAGCATGGTATCTCCAGCAACTTTTTTTTGAGGCAAAATCTCACTATGTAGTCCAGGCTGGGCTTGAACTCACTGTGGAATCTAGGCTGGTCTTAAACTCACAGGGATCCTTATGTTTCAGCCTTTGCAGTGCTTAGTTTACAGGTTTGCACTACCATTCCTGGCTCTCTATATATTTTACAGGCTTCTAAAAAATTTAAAACAGTGATTTTCAACATTTAAAATCCTATCACTACCTTTGGTAAGCATAAAAGCTTTACACAGTCTTTTAAAATTATTCAAAGTTTCAAAATAAAGGCAAAATTCTGAATATTTTATCAAAATATTTATAAACATCTCTCCTGAGATTAAAAATTTAAATTATAATTTTAAAAAGTAACATGACAGCTCTAAAAACTAAATTTTAGATAAATAAAATATTCAACATTGGCAAGAGTTTCAAAAAATATCCCCAAGAAGGCTGGCCAGATAGCTCAGTGGATTAAAGCTTCTGGCTAGCCTTCTTGGGGATATTATAGGGGCTGGGGTTTGATACCCAGCATGCCTTGCCAGTCCCAGTCTGGGGGCATGCTGAGATGCGATTGAGACTGGGTGTGGTGGCAGGCCCCTGTAATCCCCGTGCTTGGGAGGCTAAAAACAGAAGGATCGGGCTGGTGAGATGGCTCAGTGGTTTAAAGCACCTACTTAGAACAAGCTTAGCAAAGCACAGGGACCGCGGTTTGATCCCCCAGCACCACATGCCAGCCTGCCCCACTCCTAGGTGGGCTGAGCTGGCCACACACACACACACACACACACACACACACAATAAATAAATAAATAAACTTAAAAAAAAATAAAAACAGAAGGATCACTCCAAGTCTGATCTATGTAGTGAGATTCTGTAGACCTTGTACTAAATACATTAAATATATATATATGTATATATATATATTATATTATTATATCCCAGAGTACACATATATTTACCAATTCAACTGGACAATATTCTTGGGCCAAGAAAGCATCTTTTGGTGATTCTTCAGCAGCTGGAAGAATTGTTTCAATAATATCCTGCTAAAGAAAATTAAGAATAAAAGGAAATTAGGGAAAGATAGGTAATTCTGCCAGTGTTTATTATAAAAACAATCTAATTCTTTAAATACGTTAATCATATGAATAAATGCTCATTTCTGAAACTAATTTAAGATACTACTACATTCTCAAAATATCTTTTCCAAAATATCCCAGATAGCTAGTTCCTAAACATTCCTTTCTTCTATGTACCTCCTATAAATACAGAGCATGCATAGCCTTCCTTTCTTGCTTCCCATCCTTTTCCTTCCTACTCCTGTCTCCACTGAAGACCTTATGACAAAAAGTCTTTATTGCTGTGCTGCTGAGGTCATTTTCCTTTGAAGTATTTTATCCAGTCCCAGCTCCCTCAGGCCAGTGCCAGATGGTAGAAGAAAAAGACTGGCAATAGGCAGGCAGAGGGGTGAGATATTAATATCCTTATCTAGGGCCATGACCAGAATCCAGACACCACTGCTTGAGTTGTCATTGGCAACAGTGAAGAAAAGATTGTGTCCTCGGAAAGGGGAGCAAAGAAGAAAGGAAGAAAGGAAAAGAGAAAGTCAGAAATTCTCCACTCCCCACTATCTCTTCCCCTTTTTAATACTATAAAAGTTGTTGGTCCATTTTCATCTTCAAACCATCACCAAGATTCATTCCCCAGATGCCATCCCCGATCTTGGCTAAGAGTTTCCTCTAACATATACTTTACTTGACTGTTCACCTCAGCTCTTTAAAATTTTAGTAAGAATAAGAAATTTTATTTCACTCTTTATTACACACACTGTAGAGGTTTTTTGGTTTGTTTTTTTTCACTTTTTATGGATAACCTGCATTTTAGATACTTTCAATTATATAGTTACTAATATAAAAATTTTGTTTCATGAGCATTTGAAAATGATTACTCAGAAAAAAAATGAATACTCAGAATCAATGTTTTCCTGCCCCTTCAAACTAACTGTGTTTCCATATATCAACTATATTTCACATTTGTTTATCATTTTGGAAGCAACTTAAGAATGGAATTGAAGGTAAGACATAGCATAGGGTAAAAAGTGTAACAATTCAAAAGACCAGGTTTATTAGTCTCTTTCCTTTTTCCACTTCAAGCACATGAGAAAATTATATTGTTACTATGTTCACAATAATAACACTTATATTTTCCTTCCAAACATCATAATCTAAACAAGTCTGTCTAATCATAATTCTCAGTAGGTACATCTAAGAAACACCTGAGCCCAAGTGAGGAATATAGTCCTGGCAATCAACCAAATGATATCCAGTTTATCATCAAAATATTTAGTAAAATAAATCCTGTTTCAATGCACTGTGATATTCTTTCCTTCCAAGAGCATTCAGTTTCACTGTAGGTTAACTTTGAATTCCTTGAGTGGTTATCAAAATGCAACGATGATGGAATAGGCCAGAAAAAGTTTTATTTTTATCAAGTATAATAATATTTATATTTGTATAACCAATAAAGTGATAACTGAGAAAATATTTTAAAGCATTGTTTCTATTTGTATTTTTAAATAGCTGTTTTTCAAATGTAGATTGTATCTTCAAATAAAAAGCTTAAAATTTTATATTGGTCACAAATTATTAACCTTTCAGATTCAAGGTCAAGATAATTGAAGGTCTAAAATATATTAGTGGCAGGAAGGGTAAAATTATGTTGAGAAACAAAACAGGGTTACTGGCTACAGTCTGAAAATATTCCATGATACACTGAACATGAGGCCTGAACAGATTCCCAGGATAGAGCCAGATTCAAGGTCAAGAAAATGATTTATTTAACATATTGTAAAAAATACTATCTCAGTGTGAAACTACTTTATCTTGTGATAAATTATCCTAAACTTCTAGAGAATAATGAACACAAATGAAAATTGTGTTTCATCCTGTTACAGTTACTTCCTAAAGAAAATGTATGTAGAGGGAAAGAAGAAATATGATCTATAAAAGTGAGAAGATAAACGAATCACAACATTCTTTCACCAAAGCTGTGTCCAAAAAAATATTTTTATGATTCTTTCTGGTTAACTTACCTCAGAGTTACTATTTGTATTGATATCTTCATTAAAGCCACTGTTAAATTCATCAATCACATCATTCCAAGTCTGGGGTTTACTTAATACTTGCTGGGAATTTGGCTCTTCCATCATGGAGATCTCTAAATTATCATGGAAGTAAAGGATATTTCACTAAGATACCTTTTATTTGTTTATTTATTTATTTATTTATTTATTTTTTGGCGGAACCAGGGATTGAACTCAGGCACTTATTCTACTGAGCTATCTCCCTGGCCCCAAAATACCTTTTAAACATGCATTGTGATATGGTTGTTACAAAAGAAAACTCTGATGGACAACTTGGAATTCAAGGATTTAAGCAAAGGGTGTATAGACTTTTTTGGGGGGGGTTTTTTGGTACCATCAAACTCAGGACCTTGGGCTTGGCAGGCAGGCACTTATGCCGCTGAGCTATCGGCTCCCCTAGCTCCCACATATTAACCCTCTCATGCCCCTCATCTGTCTGTATCACTCACCCATCCATTGCCAAATCCACATATTTACATATTGACTCCACATTCACTCTCATACATTCACTCACAAGAAAATATGGTGCGTTCCAGACCATTAGGGCACATATTCAGTAGATTTTAATGTCTTCTGGAAGGATAACTGGGAAGAATTGCACATTCACCAAGTAAGCTGGTTTTATTACTACTTTATAATTGTTACAAAATAATCAATTGTAAATACTATATGGGTATATAGTAATACCTGTGTCTCAGGTTAATTGTATTGTTATACTTACATGATTGCTCATGTTGGTTGTTTTAAAGTGAAACATTATCTTGCTAGGTACAATGATTTTCTTTTTTAATGTTTTGTGACTACTGACTTTGGGAACAGGGAAGGTGATAAGAGAGAAAACAATGGTATATATAGTACATATAGTATACATAGTTTCATCTCTTTAATAAAATCTTTCAGACAAAAATGAATTTGAAAAACTAAAGTAATTATTTTAGGTTCAAATTCTCTTCTAAAGATAGCATTTAGATTTGAAAATAGGAATTATAGCCCATTTTCACTCTGAAATACAAAATGACACTTTGTTTCTATGACATTCCTCTTAACATCAACAGCATTAGAAATCTCACCTACAACATTTTGTCTTCCCAGTTCTTCCCTTACTGATTCTTTCTGTATCAATTTTCCTCCAGGTTTAAAGCCAGAAGACAGAAAGCATTTTGTAAACAACTGTGAAAACACAATTTTTATTTTTTGTTTTTGTATCAGTTCAATAAAGCTTATGCATATATACTAAAAAATGAAAACTATAGTTCATACAGACACATCCAACACATTAATTTAAAATGGTTATTTTTTCACAAGTTCAAATTGTGTTGCATATATTTATGTAAATATAGTTTTATTTATAAATAAACATTGCACTCAAGTAAAAGGAGAGAAACTATTACCACTTTCAGTTCACCATGAATCAAATCCTGGGCAGCCGTTGACAGAAGTGTATCCACTCCTCCCCTCTTCTTCCACATCATTAACCTTTGGGTAGGAGGTGCAAGTTCTAAAACCATGAGTGTATCCGAAAAGTAAGTAAGCTGTTTATGCATAGTTTTGCTACTGATCTCTTTGACTGGATCTATAAGCAATTTCCTCTTTTTGCTTTTCCTTTTCTCAACAATGTCTAAATATTAAAAAAAGGCATAAAAAGAAATTAGTTATGCAGCTTTGTAAAATGATATTTTAGGCATTGCATATTTAAGAGGTAACAATGTGCACAGTTTCATTGGGAAGAAAATCCCTCTTTGCTCCCCTAAAAATTATACTTTGCAAGGTTTTTTCACAGTTAGAGTGTCTGAAAAGCCAAAAGCTGATACACATTTTAAAGGTGCTTAGCACAGACTCTGTTAACCAGCTAGATGGGCAACTGAGAAAGCATGGAGCAGAGGCTACATGGAGAGGGAAGTTAACCAATCTGTAGGATAAAATGCTTGTGTAATAGGATAGCTTTTTGAGACATTGTTATGGTTTGTGTCTAGATTTCCCCTCAAAGCCTCATGCAGTCATGGGGCTGCTTCTGGAGTTTGTGATTGATTATTGTGGGTGTGGGTAAAATTACCTAGGGCAGGTAATTTGCATTACAGTGTGAAGAGGGCAGGGCCGAGCTAGCTGTCTGAGCTGCGGCCACTCCCTTTGTTCTTTGCAGCCACCATGAAAGGCTCTCTGCCATGTGCCACTTTGCCGTGGAGCCAGGTGAATATGGACTGAAATCTCCACTGACTGTGAGCTAAATAAACCTTTCTTACCCTAATTTTGAGTTTCAGTGTTTGTCCCAGCAATGAGAGAAAAGTAACTGAGACAGACATAATTTGTATTTGTTCATTGTATATTTTCTTCTTCTGCTGATATTCAAATAAACATTCAATGTAGGTTAGCTACCTTCATGGGATTTTACTCCTTTAGGGAATTTTATCAGGCAGAAAGCAGAAGTCACACTTTTCTTTAGTAAAGCTGCCAAAGAAGAAAAAGGATTAGACTTTCCAGTGTATGAAGATCTAAGATCAGATGGAGCTAGGAGAAACAGGAACCTCCCTGTTGACATGCTTTTGTAAAATCCTGGGAACATAACAAAATCCTACAGGGCCTGCCAGTGTATCTGGGACAATGAACACAGTAAATTGGTGCAGCTGATACCCTAGGGGTGCAGTTCTAGCTCCCATACTCCTCACCCCAAGTTTGGCATTACATGGCTCTGTGCAGACTAGGAAGCTGTGTGTACTGAATTTCTTGCCAGTCCTCTGGAATAGAGGCTAAGTTTTTATTTAAAATTTAAGGTTTTCTACCCTTTGTGTCTAAGTTTATCCACTGAAGTATCAGTTATACTTTTTTAATTTTTTTCCATAAATTTATTGAGAAACAAATAGCAATGAGCGCTTCAAATCAAATTGGTAGGACAGTTCCAATAATTAACACATTGC